GTGCGGCACTCGAAGCTGGTATTGAGCAGGCAAGGGTTCGGAGCAAAGAGCTTTATCGCCGTCGTCATAATGCAAGAAGCCTCCTTGATGCCTTGCCATGGTCGCGGGTTTCAAGGACCTGTGGGGGAGATTTTGATGCCATTTTAGGGCTCGGGCGTCGAGATTTGATATTGCCCAACTAAAAAAAAAGGGCAATATCAACTTTAACTTAAGAAGAAATAAAGTTTACCTTTAAATTAAAAGACTGCAGAATGCACTCGTGAAAATATGATTGAAATTGAACTGTGTGAAAAAAGGAAATAATCTTGATCGTTAGGATAACCACTTGTTTTGGTGTCTCCGGGCGGAACGATAATTCTCTGCTATGCTCTGACTTGTATCTTGGGCAATGAAAGAAAAGCAAAGAAATGAGAGAATTTACGTGATAAGGCACCACCCCCATTAGATATTTTTCGGCAAAAAATTACAATTTAATTCATAGTCTAATATGAAGAAAAGGACAAAGCTCGTCACTACCTTGAAGTGCTAAACGATGGCAATTGATTTTTTAAAACTTCAAGACAATACCAAACTAATTTGAGGAGAGAGGTGCTTTATGGTTCTGTGAGCCGCAAGCAATATTTCCGGATTCAGATGTATACCGTATTTACGCGAATTACATAAATTTGCGAATACGAGCACCTTTCCCGCCTAGTTTTTGAGTTTCTTAACTTAAAAAAAAATTGTTTATATTCGCGTGAATACAATAAATGGCATCTGATGGTACTCGAATCTTTCGCTACTGCTTACAATTGAAGAACGAATTAAGATTACCCTTTGAAATTTCTTCTTTTCCTTAACGAATACTGACCTCTAAGTTGGGATGATGTCAGGAGTCTGACATAGGGCATGACATGGTTCGTGACATTCCACGTTCACGAACCAATAGACTGAAAACAACTGGTGCAGGGCTTTCTTGCAGCGAAGAAAACCGAATTACTCTAAAAAATCAACTAAATCATGCCGTGTTCGACTGCAATTACTGAACACTTAGCCCCTAATACTTTTCTCTTCTATTAACTGTAAATTATTTACAATATCATCTGATTAGATCTTCAGTTGTGATCTGAGGAGTGCACATCTGACACCCCTACATTTACCAATTCGCGCACCAGCTTGACAAGTACCACTGGTGGTACGCGTACAGCGAGTTGAATAACCGTAAAGTGGCGTGTGAATCACCTTGCATTTAGGCGGAGCATTTCTCTCGCTTTTCCTCTAAATTGAGCTAGCGAAAAATCCGTCAATTTTCCATTTTCAGTCGAAATATGCATAGTAGTACATGATTGGTTTTGCAGAAACTAGCTCTTGTTCGCTGAAATTAGTTTCGGAATTTCCAAACAAAGCCGTTATCGTCGCCGCCAAAAAGAAAATGTAAAAATGGTTCCAACGATACAGTACAGTGATCGGCGGATAAGAAGGGCCAGCATTTTAACGTGAACGGGCAATTAAAATTAAGAGTAATAACCTTTCTTTTTTCAAGCGTATTATGTTCGTACATTGTGCCATTCATAGCGAAATTGTGAAAGCTGTTCATCCAATAAACGACGAAACAAAAGTTAGTATTTCCTACCGTATGCAACGTTATGATGATACAGTAGTATAGAATCAAGGATGTCGTCGTGTTAATGTTTTTCTGCTTCAAATTTATGATTCATGCCAATTTCGGAAGAAGTTCGTCCAGTAAAAATAAAGAATTGTGAGTGTACCTGTGCTCATGTCTGAACTTCGCTAATTTAACCCAGAGAAAGGCCCAGCTTTGCCTTGTTGATAACGCGTTAATGGACAAGACCAGAAATGTTTCCAAAAACTATATTTATGTGCTAATGTAAGTAATGGCAAAAGGGTAATGGGCAACCATTTAGGATATCCTTCTAGAGCGTAATGAGGAACGATTTTTTCTGGGGCATTATTTACAACTAATTCCAGACGTCCCAAATTCAACGGTTCATTTTAAAATAAAGAATGACTCACATTTCACGAGCATAATTTATCATTTCGCTAGTTAAACTGAAATGGTAGATTCAGAATACTGTACAGCGATGTATTAATTTTCTCTATTTCCTCATCCTGGCATGTCAATATTTCCGTCTCGCCTTGTGGGAATTTAAGACGTAAAAGTTGAAGCATGTTTAAAGATTCATGGCATTTTAATTCGAATTCTTTATTTACTGGCGTTTCAAGTGGAATGACCAGGGAATTCTTGGTGAATGCATCATCTAGCAGGTTTCCTCGTGTATGAACCGCTGGCTAAAAATCCGTATTCCTTTATTTTATTTTCGAAAACCACGCATTTAAATTGTTGTACAAACAAAGCAGGAGTTATTTTTCTCGTTCACACCGTAACTGAAGTAGCCGCGTCGCAAAGCTCTTAATATTCGCGAACTTTCCGATGGTATCCGTTATTCCGAAATCAAAATTTTTCTAAATTTACGTGTGCCTTTTGGCTGAAGGTATTCAAGCAAGTTTTGTGATGCAATTTACTCGGGTTCGGATTCCAGTTCGGAACATAACTCCGGTAGCCGCGACACGAAGCCCTCGTTGATGCTCTGCGAACTGTGGCCGGACAATGCCGGGCTTTCTTCTCTCGAAGATTCCCCACGGATCCGTTGTTCGGACGCAGGAGCGTGACAAACAATCTCTTGACTCAAATGCTCATAAGGCTCCCGACACGGATGACCAACGAAACTGTGTCCTGTCGTGGAACTGCATTCGGAGTCGGATTCGTCGTAGTTGTGTGACAAGCTCCTGCGCCGAACGTACGTTTCTGTGCGCGTGAACCATCGCATGGGGCCGAATTCGAGGTCGGCCGGTGAAAGTTTCCCGGCGGGTGAGTTGCACAAATGCTCCAGGTGGGTCGCTGTCTCGGAACTGGATTTCCGGAGAGACTCGCCGTGGTGGGAAACGTCTTCCTGGTTTCGTTCCACGTAGAACCCTGGATGATTTGCATACGAAGCGAGGGTGGGTCATGAGAAAAAAATGTCGATGCGTTGGCAACGCCGGCGCGGAGAAATTCAACAGCGTGAGGAAAATGTCGGGGTTGACAATATGCCGTGAGGCGAGAGGGGAAACGATTCGATCTTTTTGACAAAAGCTAATTAAATTCAAGTTTTATCTTCCTTATAGTACACGATGTGGTTTTCGTGTTGCATGTGGGCTTTGATTCTTAACCAGTTTGAACCTGTGGAAAATCCATTTCTTAAATTCTTGAATTTTCGTTTAATATTTCCTTTGCGGTGTCATGGCATCCCGTTTCCCCCGACGTTTTCTTCCGGACAGACACGAAAATTTTCGAAAAGCTGGACAGTTTGCTCGAAAGGTCACATTTCCGTTTGAATTATCTTCGCCAAAAATCATCTTCCTTTAGGTAACCTAATCTCGTTGAGATTGAGATTCACTTCAGAACGGGAAAAGGATAGTTTTAAGGCTAAATTCAGACGTTTAGCAAGAGTAGATTGAAATTTATTGAATAAAATCAATCCGATGAAAGTCGGTAAATAAAATGTAAAAAAACTTGATATTCGAGTGAACTTCAAGGGCAATACAGGTATTCTATGTCCTAACTTGTCCCTTCCCAAAAAATATTCAGCGTAGAACGTCGTACGTTTTTTCGAATCTTCGCCAAAAAGGTCGCCAGTTTCCTCTACACGTTCAAATATTTGATGTGAAGTGTTTCGAAGTAAAATCATCTTCAGAAAAATATGCTAATCGCACGTTGAAATTATGATAAAATTTGGCACAGTACTTCAACAATAATAAATTGCACCAAAAACTAAAATTCAACTTGTGACTAGAACCCCATTGGTTTTGAATCAATGCTGTGGTAAAGTGCTAAAATAACCACGGTGTTCAGATCCATCTCGAAATTAAATAAAAATGTAGAAAATCGTTGTGCGCTTCGTCAGACAAGAGAGAAAGTACTGCGTACTACTCGGCTATTCTGTTCGTGGGAAAGGGGTTTTTTCGCGTTACCTCAAAGTGTCAGCGAAACTGCGAAAATTCAAAGTTGCTGAATCATGTTTCGATTACCGTGTGCCGGGGGTTCTCCTTCCCAAGTATCCGCGCTCCAAGAATTTCGTACACATGTCTCATCCTCGTTTGTTTTGGATGCACGACGAGATAATGTCGTCGTGCTGGTTTGTTGTTGTTGCGGATGATGCTCGACTGTGGCTCGGAGACGATTGAAAAATGTTTCGAAGAACATTTGCGAAGGGGTCGTATCGTCTTGCGTAGCTGATTTCTCGATTCCCAAAAGCTCCTGCATTCCGAAGTTGCGATATACAGTAGAACCTCGAACTTCGCCATGTCGATTTTTTTTTATTATCACTGTCTGAATTTCCTGATCGAAAGTATCATTTCATTCTCAAGACTTCATAACTGGGAACCGTTTCTTTGATACAGGAAAAAGGGATGCACAAAAATATGACTCCATTCGTTTTGAAAGGATATGAAAGAGTAATTGGGCAAATACACCATTGCTTTCAACTTCCAGCATAATGTCAATTCCTTCAGGAAGCAAATTAAGGCTAGAATGTCACCAATTAAATTTTTTTTTCGATTTCTTTTCTTTAACAAAAATGTTTTTTTTCTCAACAGGAAACCTTCCTAACCCGGATTTTCTCCTGCTTCGTAGAAATTCGGAATTGAAAGAGGTTCAGCAGTAAATATCTGGAAAATTATAGAACTGAATCCATGGGTTTCTACCTCTTTATCGGGTTTGATGCAGCTAGGATGAATGAAATCACCGATCGGACCGTGATCTGCGGAAAAAAGATTGCAAGAGGTTTAAAAAAGATGAACATAATTTACATGTCAGTACAAAGGACGCGCTTACCTTTCGGTAGATTTCGACATGTCTCTATGCTCATTCCTGCCCGCATCCGATAGCCATCACCAGACATGATCTCAATGTTCGTCGGAAGAAACATCCCAGAAGGTTTCTGAGCTATAAAGAAGTGCATGTGTCAGTTTCTCATTCGTAAATCAAAATGACCTGACAAGGTTAATCGCAGTAAGGTCTTGCGATAAACGTGCTTATTATCAAGATTTCGCGGCTTCATTTCTATTTAAACCATGCTATATTACAAGCCTTTTGTGTCTCAAGTCAAGAACTGTACGTAAGAAGAGGAATTACTCAATATGAAGCGTTGTGAAGGAAAGCTTTTAGGCGAGTTCTTCGGAAACGATGAGAGGACCGAGTCGTCGAATATGCCGTGCAAATTCGCTGTACAGAGCTGCAAGCTTATTTTCTCGATGTCAGACGTCGATCAAAATCTATTTTTACGGTACAGCATTGTATGAACTCTTTGGTTGGTTATCTCGAAGATACGGTACTGTACTTGGAATATTCGCGAACTGAGAGCTTGCTGTGCGAAATTCCCCGGGTGATTCGTCCTTCGAAGAAACTCGCCATTCCAAGAACGATATACAGAATTTTCACATTGCATAAAAACGTCGATGACCTTCATCTTTTCTCCGGAATCCGGTTAAAAAAAAACAGGGGTTTAAGCGTGGCAGATGCACCGTGACTCACTGTGGACTACAGTATTACCGCCTACGTATGCAGGTACAGTACAATAGCTACATTTTTGGAAGGTACAGTACTGTAACCTCAAATTCAAAGCACTCAGCATAGGCTTCTTTTCAAAAGACCCGGGTTTCATTTAGTTCATCAATTCATTTAGTAAAAAGCTGATGAAAATGTTCTGGTGGTATCACTGATTCTGTATTTCCGAGTTGAGGTCGGTAGGTTACCTTTCTGTTCACGTAAATGAATGTACAGTACATGTACCTAACACCACTGTTAGATTTGAAGCTGGAATTTTGCCTTATGTTGGAAACAATAACCAGCTATGCTCATTAGGACATCTTTGGCATTTTTTTAGTTCTCTAACAAAAATTCAAGTGCTCAATTCACCATTATTAGTGTACCAGTATTTCAAGAGTTCTAAACTGAAATGAATTGCTTGAGATTCCGAGAAATCCCATTATCTGGGAAATTGGAGGTACTGGCAAAAATCGTTGCGGAGAGAATTTCGTCGTACGCATAGGAAAGCTTCATAGCATGGTAAGAACAATGTATGGGGGATTTTTCATTATACAGAGAAAATTGTTGTAGATGAGATCGTTTTAGAGAGGGTCCACCTGTGTCAGTCACCCAGAGGGATGTTCATTGGACAGAATGTTAAATTAAAGCAGAGATGACTTGGGTTTACCGCGTGAAAATTAGCGATTTTAAGCCATTTTATAATTAAATTCGGAAATAATCTTAATTAGCTATATCCTCTGTTCACGAATGTAAAATATTTCACTGCTTTTAAGGTCAACGAAATGGGAGTTTTGAATAGGATACAAGGAGATAGCCGTAAGGGACTAAAGAAAAAAATCCGTTACCCAGAAAAAATCGTTGTAGAGACGGTCCACCCAGTAATTTATATTCAGTACAAGGATTTCAATCATCATGCTTTCTCACCGGCTCCGGCAACGAACGGCAGGGGCTCGTTCGGCGGCTCTTCATCTCTGATGGAAATCATTTCATTCTCAGTCTTGAGTTCATCCAAGCAGTCCAAGTAGGTTTTCCCAGACTCGGTATCGAAGGGCTCTGGCCCCGCGGGCCCGACCCGGGTCTCGACTTTCTTCAAGCCCCAGAACCTGCATCTCCACTTGTGAATGACGCTGAGGCGGGACTTCTTCTTGTTGGTGGTTGTGGTTCCTGGATTTATCTTCGAACCCGGTCCGGGATTCGGACTAGAAACTGCCGTCGAAACCGGGGACTGTTGTTTGTTGATCGGTTTCGTCACCTTTGTCCCAAACAACTTCTTCCGCAAGCCGGAAAACGAGAATCGAAATCTGCCATTGCTCGGTTCGGACGAACTCGCAGCCCTCGGCCAAGTTTTCGGCACCTCGTGATTATGATCCTCTTGATAATTCAAATTCCTATAGACCTCGGAGCACTCGTCGCTGTCGGCGTGTCGCAGGGCAATGTTCGTCAGCGACGCCTTTCCCGACAATGATGGCTTTTGTTGTGGTTGGCTGTCTGGGGCCTGAGAGTCACCGTGGTCCGTGTCGGACGGGTATTCACCGCCGGCGCTGGAGCTGATAACGAATTCTTCGCTTACGGATCGAGGCAGTTTTATGAGGTCGATTCCTTTTAGAAAGGACGAGACTTCTGGGGTGGCTAAATGTGTGGTCGTCGTCGGAGAAGGAAGAGTAGTAGTAGTGGGCTCGTTTGCCGGAGCTATGTCTGCTCTGCGCGGAACAAACGATGAGCCATTTACCGATTCGTTTAGGGCCCTATTACGACTCGGAAGGCGGGGAAAAGTCCGCTGACAACTTTTTGGCGAATTCTTGCGAGGGAATATTGAATTACGCGGTCTTTTTTTCTCGAGCGTCGCAGCGAAAAAAAGAATGAGGATGAAACTTCTTGCGGACATGGATGAACCAATGAAGGAGTGAAAACAAGTCCAGACTTGAAACGGTTTGCTGTTACTAAATTCAATTACACGTCAAGTAGCTCGTTTTAGATGAATATTTGTTGGTGCATACGTTTTGATGAAAGATGGTTCAAGGTTTACGGTATTGCATTATTTCTTACAGTGGTTTCAAGTTAATCTCAACCAGGTTCAGACGGATAAAAGACAACTGGACAGGTGAATAATTTGGTGACTGTGATAAGCAAGACATCTTAGACCTGCCACATCTTAGAATTCTTTTCAAGTTATGTACATTCGAACATCCTTGAGTTGAATTTCAGAAAGACAGCGAACACAAATTCGAATTGGGGTTACGAGTGACGGAAACAGGTATTTACGTTGGAGGAAAGAAAGAAGAATTGCAGGAAATTGTAAGTGGTGATATTCTGGACATTAAATTGCTTCTTAAATCACAGGATACTGAACTCGGATGCAAGGTTTCGTTTGCCCAATTAGTCTTTCACTTCCATTCAAAAATTTTAAAGTTATATGCTTTTTGCTCTTCTCTTTCGTGTATCAATAAATTAATAGCCAGAAGGCCCCAGCAAATTTGAGTTATGGAGGTTTGAGAGGGAAAGCCTTCCAGTTGGGGAGGTTTATAATGCTGTACTGTACATTGCTTGAAAGGAAAGTCTGTCGGAGATTTTAAAAATAAAATCGGCATAGAAAGGTTAGCGTTATCTAGGTCAACTAACTACTGCAGTACCGTAATCCGAAGAAGTAGAAAATTTCATGGCTTCTAGTGCAAATACGATAACCATGCTAATTTAAAGAAATCATTTGTCTTTTGCGTGCATTTCGTTTTACGGAAAATGTATTTCCACTTGCGTGATTCTCGTGCCAGATGAATTTATGGCGCTCCGGCACAATTTTTACCTAGACTTTCTGCGCGAGTGATCATGTGTGTTTTATGTGTGCATTCGCGCCATTATGTCCGCGCAATTGAACATCAGATCAAAAGCATGCGCTCGAAAGATGTTCGCGGACTTAACCTTCGTGGACGGAAACCAAGTTCTAGTCAAGTCCACCGCATTACAACGGCGAGTCGGTCTTGACGATGGGAGGGCGAGAAATCTCATGGGTTTTTATGAGGGATTCTAAGCCTAGTAGGCTGAGAATGGCATTCATCTTGGTGAAGCCTCGCTCTGGGTTTACAGTCCCGGCGGCGTAAAACTCGCCGCCGCCGCCATCGGGGTGGCTTTTTTGAATGAAGGGTGGAGAGGGGCAAAAGTAGGTCGACGTGGTTTTTATTACCTCACTGAACGCGGCGGAGTTCCGTTGTCCTGAGATCCTGGTTGAATGGAACCAATCGCGATGCCGACCGCCCACGGTTCATTTAAATTCGGGATTCCTTCGTCTGGGTCAGCCGAATTTGCTTTGACCCTGTCGAGCTCGGAATGCAAGTCGCGTGTTTCTGTCGACGAAACTGACGCTAAATTGTCCCCGCCGTCCGGCACGATTCGTTTCTGCGACATAAAAATTGATTAGCTTGCGAATTAAGTCTTACAAAAACCTCTTGGCTTGAACAGGGGTTCCCAACCTTTTGGACATACTGATGTACTGTGCTTTCAAGTACCGGTGCATTATTTATTTTTAAGGTTCGGAAATGGACGCGGCATTCCTAACCTATACGATGTAAGCTTTGATAACCTTCCGTAAACCTTAGATACCTTATGTACAGGATATATTTTTATACGAGGGTTGATATGGGACTCTTAGCGATGGTAAACCTTTCATCAAGATGAAAAGATCCGAAAAATTGTATGTACTTTAATGGCATCGTAATGTCTGTAGAAGTGATTGATCGGGTTTTATGCGTTTTTGTGAAATCGTACGTGACTTCACATCACTTGTGAAAGCAAGTGCTTTTTCAAGAGTAGTATTAAGCGTTAAAAAAATGACGGTGAAAGGTCACTGATTTTCGTTTCTTTTTGTTACTGATTTTTGTTTCTTGTGCACTTTTTGTGTGCTAAATCCTCCATTAATTCCTTCGCTCTCTAGAAAGTATCAACAGAGCCCCAATAAAATTTCGTTGAGTAGAAATGGTTTACGCGTATGAAATTTCGCTGGAAATTTTCTAATCAAAATTTTGGTGTAGCATTTTCCCGGAGGAGCGAACCGAGACCAATTTTAACGAAATGGAATTTGTACTCGCCCCGGTTATGGCAGTTTGACACGCATTTAGGGACCCATTCACCATATATTCAAATTATTAAAAAAAAAAATATCTAGTTTGGTGCTCATTCTGGCGCATTTAATGTGACGATGCTTCGATCGAATGGGACGATGCTTCGATCAAATGTCGGAATTTCAGCTTTACCCCCTTCATTTTCTTGACCTCATTCTCGCTCTTATTTCTCATGATTATGCATTGCCAATTCAGAATGAACACCCAACTTGTTCTGCCATGCCGTTGTGGTGGAATAAACTTTTTTTGTGAGGTTCGGAATTATAACGGACGAAGTACCGTTCTACTTTACACTTATCGTAAAATTGCGAAATTAATATTTTCGCATGCCAGCTTTACGAGAAAGGAAATTTACGTCCCGTTCTGCCCAAGAAATTATTTCCGCGTAATATTTTGCTTATAAACGTACACAGCCACAGCCTTTATATAGATGGATTCAGCGTTTGAATCTCCGGTTCAAACCTTCCAGTGTTAAACCGTGTGACAATTTCTAGAGGCGGGAAATTCCCACTCAGACGTCCCAGTGTGTGGGAATTCGAGAGTTGCATTTCCGATGAGCGTTGGTTCCATGTGTTTCCCCTCGAAAGTGAGGTAACACGCGGAAGCGCAGATTAAAAATGAAAATCAGCACAAAAAAGTCAAGAAAGTTTGGTTGCGCAAGAAAAAGGGACATTAGCGCATGCCTCTCGCACCTGTTGCTTAAATGACTGACATTCCTTAAAAAAAAAAAGTGAACTAAATTCCCATGGAAAGCCGTCTTATGTGTGGGTGACAAAAATGAACTTAAATCCTGCTGCGCCTCGATGCGGCGAGCTTTTCGCAACAGTTCTCAAATGTTTGTGCGTTTTTTTTCCCCCATCGATTTCAAATTCAATAAATGAATGGGAAACCCTCGATGCACTGGACTACAGTATTCACTTGCGGGAGGCAAGTCTAGTTCAATGGATAAATGGATATGAGATGATGCGTCTAAGATCCAGCTAATCGTTCATTTGTTTTATACGCTCCGGAATTGAGAAAGTTTCATATTCGTTGGAATCTTCTTATGATTAAAGTGCTTTTAGGAAATAACCCATCGGATAAAACCAGTTTCGTACTACTTCTTTCATGGTTTTGGGCGTCGCCATGGAGATACATTTTATTTTAAATACAGTGCAGTACCTGAAGGAAAGGCAGGAGACATGTCAGTCTTCTTAGAAGTAGGTAATCATACCTAATAGTCATTGTATAAGCATAGTTCTTTTATTTCTAATTTTAGGGTTTCGTATGCGTTGTCATATTCAACATGTGGGATAATGCGTCCCGTGGAATTTTCCGGAAGCTCCGTCATATGTTTTTCTTTTATTCTACTATTTTTCAACAAAGCAGATTGGCTTGGCTTTCTTTCGTTGTTGGATTGAAGTCGCATTAAAAAACCCGTGCATGCACTATCAGGGGGTCAAAGCATTGCGCAATTTCGTCTCAACGCTATCTTGACGAGACGGGAAGAGGGGGAAAAATAGTAACGTTGGCGAACAAAAGCGTGGAACCAAGAGCGACAGAGGTCGAATGAGAAAAGGACGGATGACGTATGAAGACATTATATAAAACCGCGAGTTCGGAATGGCTCGACGTCGTGTGATGACCTCTTCCAAGTGCGCGACAGGCTCTCTCTCGTGGAGGTCGCACGCAAGCGTGACGCCTGATTGCGCTAAAATGAAGTCTTATTCTTTTTATTTTTATTTTTTTTTCTCGGTCGGGAACGAAGCAATCAATGTCAGGAAAACAGTTTCGTTTTCTGGCTTCTTTCGACCTTATCGAGGCTGAAGACATTTTCTCCACGTTGGATTCCGAAGACAAATTTATCTGGATCTTTCCGTATCGAGTGAATTCGAAATACTGTAGTTGTTTTTAGCATCAAGGAATACAATAATGCTTCAACTGGAAAGTACCTACCGTATACGGGAAGCTTGCGCATAAGTTCCAGACCACTTATGAGGTAGTCTGAAGAAAGTTCAGGGAAAAGAAAACTGCAGGAGAGGACGAAACTTAATTCGCACCTCGCGTCATTTCTCAGATGAAATTCAGTATGAATATGAAAGGTTGTTCAATGATTCAAAGAATCTCTGTATGTGTATAATACTCTTATTGCTTATTGCAAATTAAAGTACTGTAAGGTACAGTACAGTCCTTGCCTCTCTGGAATTCGGTTTCTGGTGTATATTCAGCTGCGTCATGACACATCGTAACCTTTCTGAATCGCGGCTGAATATTTTATTTTACATTTGAATTACAAATAAAATACGAATGAGAGGTTATTGTAAGATCATAAAGCCACGGAAAATAATACGACTTCACGTGGATGCATTGCAGAAAACCGCGAGGAAAACTAATGCTGCGTTGTACTCGAATGAGAAATAATTGCACAATTGTAGGGAAATCGGAACGCCGAACAAACTGTATTCCTTTTCGGGGTTATTTTTTGCAGAAGTTATTCAAAACTTTGTTTTGTTTGAAAATCAAGTTTGGATTTTCTTTTCTCTTTTCAACTCACTATTTTCAAAACACATAAGCTAGGCTCTTGATCTATTCCATTGGGACGGGAAAAAATATACTGCGAAGTGTTTACGGAAACATTTGTATCAATTTCTTCCGAAGAAGTTATCGGAACCTTTTTTGGTTGATAAATCGAATAGGCAACAAATATCTGCACTTCCAGATTTTCAAAAGAAAATGTACCCTATTATTTTGAGAAAGCTTCAAAAGATTTCATCCTGATCTACGATGTGGCTGGGTGAAAATGCTCTAGATTCTAGAATTTTGAGGCTATCTTCAGTCACATTTCCACCTAACTCGAAACTTACAGACTGATCTTTTCATTATTTTCTTCCTTAAAGTAAAGCTAAAATTGAATCTGTAGGAAGTGGTTCAGAGGAGAAAAGTATTGAAAATTTTTCATCGGATGGCGACTGCATTGCATGGGAACTCCAGTTCCCATCCATTAAAATTGAAGATCCCACTCAAAATATTCTAGAGAAATAATACTCTTTGCGTGAAAGTCTATGCGGAATGTCGTTCGGGAATGCTCGAATTGTCGTTGACAATTACAGGAATGAAATAACATTTTAAAACTCCGATTCCGTTTCCAATCCGTACGTTTGCGCAAAGGTACTCCAGATTCTTGATTCCATAAATTAAAATTAGAAGTTTAACCTCGAAGTGCTCCCTCATTAACGATGTCTTGTGCGAGTGCCTGAATCAAAGCGGAAATAAATGAGGAATGCATGTAGGAATTCCATTTCCAACCTCGGGCGTGTCAATGACGTCCTTGCTCGCGTGAGCACGTGTCGCCGTGAGCCCCGTTCCAATCGCGCCATCGCCTGCGGGGCTCATTGCAGACATACTCTTTTTTTAAACCCCCGAGATTCCTTCGTTCTTGTTCTCCTGAACCCACAATTTCCTCAATTTCTATGTTTTCTGATGAAGGAGTAAAACGGGATAAAAGTCAGTCGTTTTGTGTCGTACCCTTGTGACAAGTGGTGGAGTGAAAAGCTGTGAGCAACGTAGAGGGTTTAATAATGCTACAGGGAGTAACCAGAAAAGAGTAGAGAACATTTGCTGGCAACAGCCGTCGGATTTGAAACCGATCGCGTCTTGTTGATCGGGAAAGGAAATAAGGGCTCATTTTTTTTATTGATGATGAGACCATTTACTTGAGCTTTGCCGAAGTTGTTGGAACACATTGAAAGTTCTTGTTTCCAACGAAGGAATTAAATATTCGGTGAGTGACAAGGTCGAAATCTTTCGTGAGGAGAAAAATTTGCATCTGAAACTTCTGCAATGCCCATTTTTTAATTTATATTTCAGTCGTTTTTTGATTGCTCTTACCCAGGCGTGAATACGAAAATCGAGCGATGAACTGTATTTGAGTATTTGTTGCAAACGTTTTTCTTCTTTCGAATTTCATGAAATATCTGCACGTTTTTTTCACGAAGATTTTTGTGCTAGAGAAGCACACAGTTTCAAAGTGAGACGTTTATATCTAACGCATGATGGAAAATAAGAGCGCTGGTTTGTAATTTTATCATTCTTCTTGGCCGTCTTCTGTTGACATTTTTGTCTTATGAATGAATGCTGATATACTCCTGGAAAATATTTGGCTATTGCTTGGCTTTTTTTCAGTTTTTCTCACAAAGGCTTAAATCGAGAGAAATGGGGTGAAATGTGCTCCGCAACTTTTAGATAATGGTCAACTGCTAAATTTGTTAGTTTCGTGAATTAAAAAAAGGATAAAAAGGCTAACACGCATTCAACATTCTGAAAGCTTCTATCTTGATTTAAACAGTATCTCAGTTTAGAGAACCATGTAGAAATTCATCCTCGAAATGCCATTCGTCATGACGCCAGGTTGACGAGCGAGAAAATGCCCAGTTCAGGGCTGCTGCGCCTAGAGCTTAATCTAGAAATTCGAGCATTCGTTTTTCTGTTTTAATATTTTCGAAGGCTTTGTCATTGAGCTTTAAAAAGTATTGAATTATCTCCGGTTGCATGATTTCATTAGATGTGTGCCAGAGTTAATTTAACGTGCCAGGACATGGTTGATCGGAACAACTGTACTAAACTCAAGTAGACACAGAAGCATACATTTTCATTTTCTCATCGCTGTAGAGTGAAATTATAAAGTAAAAGAACAGTCACGCACTGAAGCTTCACAATAAGCACCAAAAGTTTCGCGACCAGACCACCTCATTAACTATCACTCTCCGCAGTTGAGAAGTCCCCGTGCTTTTATTTTACGTAGAATCGTGCCGTTGGTGGCACGATTTTGAAGCGCACGTCTGACTGCTTTTTTCTGACGGGGCAAATTGATTCACAAGTAATTTTTAAAGCTTGGCGAACGGGGCCGATATTTATTTTTTATTCGGGATTCAACAGGAGGCAATAGGATAAAATTCGTTGAATTCGTGAACATCCGTTGGCATTTCCGCGCATGCCCAATTCCGCCGACGAGAACTACTCGGTAAGCAGTGAAGCTGGCTTCTTTGCGCTTGAGCCTTCTCGTCTAGATGTCGCCACGCGTGCACAATCTTGTGCTGTATCTCTTGGGGGATGCACTCCAGTCTGAACACGTCATTATTTTCCGCTTGAACAATTTCACGATGTTATGTGAGTGTGTATAAACGGTAAGCCTATCAATCGAGAACTTAGTTTTTCGTCAGCCCCTCATCTTTATGGGCAACATTCGTCAAGACCTTTCAAATTTAAAATATGAGTTTCAAGTAGCTGTCTACTGGTTCCTACTTTCGATGATACCTTGTCCACTGTCATTACAGGTATTAAGCCGAAGATGAAGATTTTACGGCCTGAATATTGAAACTATTATGTGGCATTTTTATTTCGTTATTGAAGTCCTGTTTGACCGACTGCAGCATTCTTCCCTTCTAGACTCTTGCGTTGGAATGCACGTTCTCAGTGACCCAATGTTCTGCGTGCCGCCACGTTTGATGAACTTCAGGGAAAAAAT